CTGCCATCTGATCAAACGCCAGTAAAAAGTGCCTCTACTGAAACCATACCGCCTAACTAACCATGTCAGCCAAGATGGCTCGTTTGGGTAACCTCCAGCAGTGTGGTAATACACTGAAACCTGAAGTAACTGATGGTTGAAAGTGGCGACGGAGCTTACATCCATCATATCATATGCCTGTTAAAGCGAGAGCCCTTCAGTGCGGAGTTGTCCATTGACCAACTCAAACAAGCTACTAGACATGACAGTGTTGGACGTTCGTTAAATACCAAACAAACAGGATCCCACTCTGACACTGTTACGTTTCTCAAAGCTCCCCTATCTACTCTGGCCTTCTGGTTGGCTCCTATTGGATTGTATGAACCGTAAAACTGTGGACAGTTTGCTTTCTTACTTCCATAATCCAGAAAGACCAGTATTTCTACTTGATGTTTAACTCGCAGATGGGAACCAGCCTCTCGTGAGAGTGACCACCACCAGCTACAAATGAAAGATGCACTGTGCCATATGGCTCCAAAGGTTGGAATTTGGGTTTGAAAATAATTTGGCATCGATCAGAGCTGAGAAGAAAGCGTAGAGTACCGTGAATGTTTGTGGCTTTGTCCGCCACACTTTAACTTTGGTGTCGTTGGTCTTTGAAAACTTTTCACGTCTGAGGTGTTGACGCTCTTTCTGTTTCTAATCAAAAATAGGCTAGGTACGCTGAATACACGTGATCTGATCAACATCAGAATGTCACCATTCCATGGGTCACTTGGTGGAGTTTTTCAAACCTGATCCGCTAGCCCTACAACCTGGTAAGTTTTGACTTCGTTTTCGAAGAAGTTTGGTGACAATCGGTAGATTTATTGCAGGGCAACGTTTAGTTTTTGACACAAAAGCTTCGTCAGGCCAAGTGACTAGGTTCCGAGCTTGGTGGAGATCTAAGGCGGAAGGAGAACCAATCAGCTAAGTCGACCTAAATATCTGTTGGGTATCGGCCGAGGGATTTTAGTGTGTTGGAGTGGTTGAACAAGTGTTGGGTCGGTGGGGTAACCTACATGTGTTTGGGTCCAGTCTAGGGTCTAGTTCTTCTGGTTCGGTTCATTTGATGGTCCCCCTTGAATGTCATTTGAACCTTCTGTCCGTCTGTGTGGGTGAGGTAGTGCTAAGATAGTTGGTAAGAGGGATGCTGTGACCTTTGGTCGGTTGAGATTTCCACCCCCACCCCCCGGTTTTTTTAATGATCCTAAGTGAATTGACAACCATACAGTCACGTGTCACTTGACTTCCTTCAAAAAATCACCGTCATCTGCTTATCCCTCTTGCCTCCAATTTATCTTTTGCTGTCGTAAGAACCAAAAAAAATTCCGTCAACATAATTACAAGAAATTACAAGTTTTTCACCTTTCAAAACTTACCAGTAACGTGAAACTCGAATGTGCTCAACTGTCGAGCAGTCTGTAAGACACGACAGCACATTCAGTTGCCTGAGAACATCAAGAACGAGAGATTCGGGTGGGGTCCAGGTGAGTCTAACCAAATTAGTTAGCAAATGAGTGTATGTTAGCTAATTTCGTGCAGTTCGGTTTCAAGCAGAACATAAGGTTGACGGAAACCCGGGGACTGCGCCTACCTGATGAGTCCAAAGTGGAAGGGCGAAACCGGTTGTGGGCTGTCGATGAATTTTCAGCAACCTTATGAGTAGTACATTACAGTGGTATACATGTATCGCGATATCTTGAATATCGTAGCGACTGAAACATGAGACGGCCTGGTGCAGCACACTCAGTTGCCAGAGAACACCACAAACGAGAAATTCAGCTGGGTTCCAGGTGAGTCTCTTGAAAGAACCAAATTAGTTTGCAAATGAGTATATATTCGCTAAAGAAGTGACATATTTTAGCCGCTTCCATAGTTTTGTCAACAACTGTGTTCAAGGCGTTGCTCGTTCTCTGCCTATCGTCTATCCGCCTAGTCTCCGTCGCCAGAATATTTTCTCAAAAACGTGTCTCATTTTTTTGTGTGTGCGCGCGCACAGGGCATCGAAAAAAACAATGCCGAAACATCTGTTATGTTGTAGACTAGAAAGCACGAAATGTGTGGCAACCATTTGTCTTACAGAGCGTTCCATCAAGCAACACAACTGGAGAATGTGAGTAGTATGTATGCCATTTTTGGGCCTGATGTGCACTTCAAGTTGGATTCACCAAGCTAAACACATTTGTTTAAATCACAACTGAACCCTGAAAAAAACCGTTTGATTCAAAACACACTCGTACGCTGTACGGTCTGAAAACGTCCCACAGAAGGGATTTAGAGACGCCAACTACACAGCATTATCCATAGTTTTCAGTTCCGTGGTATGGACAGAACGTGTGACGCAGTACATCTAACAGAATTTCAGCGCAAATGCTCCGTACTGTTCGTCCAGCTCCTGTTTCCCACAATTCGCACATTTTGGATCTTCCGAGGCATTTCAGGGCAGGGGAACACGTTCGCGCGTTTTGTGTTGTATCGCCCCGTCTGCAATCAACAGGTAGCGTAATTTAGCGTAAGACGTAATATGACAAAGCGTTCAGAGGGAAAGTGTTTTCTCGCTCTTGCGATTGCCTTCTACAAAGTTTATGAAAACGACGTTTTAATCGGAGTAGTTTTTGATGAAGCACCAATACTGAACTGTGGAAGAGTGGCTCGCATTTTTTATTCATTTTAATACACCCCCTGACCTGGATGGGCAAACTGGTGACCAGCTCTATTTCCAAGCGGATTAGATCTGAGTGCTATTAGCATAAGCAAAACTTGAGTAAAAACAGTCTAACCGAGAGTGAAAAGACAATCGACTCAACAAACAGATCGATGCAAAGAAATTAGCCCTAAACAATGTGCCACGCAATCTAATTGTGAAGCTCACAAATTGTGAAGCTCCCTCAAATCGATAAGTCGATTTTGAACGAAAGTATCTGTCAAATCATTACACATATCCATAAGTGCTTTTCGTGATTTTATTCCAACTTTATACTGAAATTATTGGTTTGGTATTGATTGGTGGAAAATACACCCTACTATGGTCTAGTGTGGTTAAGTTGGACTGCGTTTTTTATCGGTTTGGCACAGGCAATTAAATGTGGTTGACAGCTCTTAAATCAAAACATGAGACACTTTGAGCCTCGGTGAGCCGAACAGGTGTTATTAGGTTGTAACATTCTTTCCCTTCGAAATTTCTGGGCCCAGATAACAGCACGAGGCCTGGATTTTCACACCACGCGTAAGCCCGTGGGAGAAACACGGTAGAATACCACACCTAATGAAACATGACGCTGCCTGTTGAAGTTAACCGCCGTAAGCGAGAGAATCAGCTGGATTCAGTTGTCTCCTGTCGAAACCAAATTCCCACTAAGGAGAAAGCAGCTGTACACATATTGGATTCGTTTACCGGAAGAGATCACCGTTGATAACCCATCTGTTTGGACGGTGCATCCGACCGTTCTCAGATTTCTCACTTATTGCGGCGCAAATGAATGTACTTGTTGCAATCAGTCCAAGTTGGATTCAAATAGAACATAAGGTTGATTGAAACTCGGGGACTGCGCCTACCTGTTTAGCGCGAGGTGGAAGGACGAAACAGATCGTGGGCTGTTGAAGAGACTTCAGCAACCCTATGAGTAATGTGTCACGTTTAGAAGAAACTCTCATTATTTATGGACACTGATGGAACTAAGGTGTCTCTTTTTTTGAAGATGGTTTTTTCAATTTTTGGGTTACTGCAATACAAACTTCTTGTGTTGAAATAAATTACGACTTTAATTTCGTATTGTAAAGTATCTGATGTAAATTTTTAGTATACCTCAGGTATGTTGATCACTTTGACCCAAGCGCAAAGTTTGGCAGTTTGGTTAGCCAATCACTGCAGTTTGTCAGCTGAATCAGCTGATTGCTGCACCAGACAAGGTCATTCTTAGTCGGACCGCGAACGTTGCTGCAGCGGTGTAATCGATCACACAGTGAAATGGTGACGGCACGAATCACTGTCCGCAAGAACCCGATGAACATCAAAGGAAATTGTGCAGCTTGAGTTGAGGATGAGGATGACGTTGGGCCGCAACGCGCGTCAAAATTCACGACCTCATTGGCCATTTATCAGAGTTACAATCAATACCTATGTACCAGTCAACTGGCTTCGTGCTGGTTTAAATTTCCTGTAGTGCTGCCGGATTTAAAACAGACACATCATCACGGGGGCCTTAGATTGGTGACTTGGGCGAGGGAGCAAGGCTAGCTGACCGGATGCGCGCTCTTAGGTTAACTGACCGGAACTGCACGTCAGTTGAGAACACCAGCTGAAAAGTCCTCAAAGGTTGTGCGCAGAGAGAGTGATGTGAGAGAAAATCACGTGACCGAACAAGCAAATCAAGCCATAATGATCACGTGCCATCCAGACTAGATTGCACTTGTCTAAGCTTTTTCTATTGGCCGAGTGGTTTGCTGAAATTCATTGATCAGCGTAAAAATGTTTAGTTAGGTTGGTCCTTTTACAGGTCTAAAAACCGCACCTTTTCGTCCATCCACTAGTTATCATTCTATCTACCTATCGTTAAGCTGTGAAACCTTTCCGGTGCCTAGCTGCTATGTGAACCGAAGGAAGCACGAGGTCTGAGATACTGCCAAGTTTGCCAAGCCTAGGCAGGAGTAATCGAAATGCATCCTAGGCAGGGGTAATCGAAATGCAGAGGTTGGGTTCGAACCACGGACCTTCCGGTCAGTGAATTCGTGTTCTAACCACCATGGTCATCTCGGGCTCACTAGTTACCTTCCACTGATATCCGTCCTCCCTATTAATTAAAACCAGATGAAAGGGTGATGTAAGCCTCTCCTGAAGATGCCTAACCTGTCACTAGGTCACAATTGAGGTTCACTCTTTCATATGTTACTTTGTGTCGAGGTTCCCCACACGGAACTTTGAGTGACACGTAGATTCGACAATCGCGAATATCAAAAGGAAGAATTAGCTTCGAAATCCTATGGCAGATTGCAATGTGAACGTGCGCACACCAAACAACGGCGAGCTCAGTGGTGTGAGTTGCGGTCGTCCTTTCAGACGGCAGTCTCGTCATTCTCATTGGCGGTGCGATCATGGGGAACACATGAGAAAACAAGTCAAGGCAGGCTCAGCAAACGGGAGACGAACGCGCGTGGACAAGTAGGTCAGTGGTGCACATTCACACACAGACACATGCCAATATACAAGTGTCGCACGGG